CAAACAAATATATATATTACAGAAAGCTATCGATTCGTATAATTTTTTTCCCAATTAATCACGCGATAGACACAAATGTCCCCGACGAAAAATCGATAACCTTATTTAATATCTTTCCCAGACGACGGACGACACAAAAATGTTTAATACACTTGAAATTGACTCGCATGCCAATCTTACAGATATTGATCCCATACGCTATCCATTAACATAAGTCATCACGGCGCTATCGTAAAATGATTACGCATACGATTAAAAGCGCGAATGAGCATAGGACAATACTCCAGACACTACTGAATAAAATATTGCCACTTGAAGTCGTTATAATAGACGCAGACTAATAAATTACTAAGTGGACAGACATATGATGTATGCACGAGCGAAAAAAGAGTTTCCGTCAAACTAGAGATACGGTATCAACATCACACATACAGTGTGCATCACAACTATTCAATGGAATTATATCAGATTTGATTACTTCGACGAAAGAATGCACACGCCTCTAAACTATATAGAGACGCGGTATCACATGACCACAGCGAGCAAGTGGGTCTAAAGCAATTCGTGTCAGGGCGCATACCGAGACATTTAAAAAGCTTGCGCTGAGAAGACGGGAACTATGACTAACGCTCCATTAGGAGTGTTCCCAACTTTGATATCATTAATGATTAATGATTGATAATCCTAACCCTAACCCTAACCTAAATGACCTATCCTAATGGAGTATCACCCGGAACTGGAACTATGGAGACGTATTTGTCTGCTCGGTATGCTACATACTCAGCTCTACGAGTCTCTCATGACGACAGCTATACGGCTCTTGTCGTTGGCTGAGTGTCCCGCTTGCTTGAGACGAGGGGTTTACTTACAAACGCTGAGCGCTTAGACAGAAATGTCTGTGTATAGGATTCCATCGCTTACAAATAGTCACATACTGAAGACCTTTTTTTACCGCCAACGACGCCGTGTAATAGATAGTCCACCAGGGACACACGTGAGCGGCGAAATTCGACATTTCGCTTGAATGAAAGTGTCAATGACTCTGCATGTAGCTCACCACAAAAAAATACACAAATGAGTGAGTGAGAAGAAGTCAGTTTTAATTGAGCAACCATCGACGTACATTATAGAAACGAAGAGTATATATGGGAGAACTCCCATTATATACTCTTGATAATTATAGGCCCGTGTAATTTTTTATGTGAAAATAAATGTTCGAGATGTGAAAGTCTGAGATGTGGGCGAGTGATGGCGTTACACCTAAATGATCGCCCAATTTAACGTTTTTATAATATTCAGATTTAGGCACTGCCTAAAAGCGGAGCTCCCGATGTGTAACGGTGTAAGATTGATTTTTTATTATTATTTTTAAATTATTTTTTAGCCTGGCCACAAGTCATGGCCTAACATAAGTATGTCATGTAACACGCACAATTCACAGATAATATCAGGAGCTATTGACTATTGACAATATTTGTCATTATTACCCTCCTCATTTTTGTATATAGGTCAACATTTTTCTTTACGTGAATAGAAGCGTATCATTTCCGCATGTATTATTATAAAACCCAGCGTTATGTATCCGCTGCAGCTGCCGCTCGTTACATGAAACCGCTGACGCATAATAAAATACAATTCGTAATAAAACTTATACAACACAGTGTAAGAGTAGAGAAACTGTTGACACTTTTATTGATATTTTCATTGAACTTCCAAACAACAAAGCCAGCTAATGCAACTGAGCTCTTTCATTGCTATTTCCGGTAAAATTGTCGACTGGTTCGCTGGCAGCTATGGCATCCGTGCGCCGGCCCTATGCATTCGCGCCGCGACGGCGTCCATAGCTACCAGCGGCTGGCATACTGTCGTAGACGTTCCCGCGGTCGCGTGCGCCTTTGCGCCGGAACTGCGCGCAAGATCTTGCGCTGAGCGCATCGAATCAACACCTCCTTTCGGCAACGCTTCTCTAGTATCCCGTCTCTCTGGACGGTAGCACACGGTTGCCATCTGTATATTGCAATAATAATTTATAAACCAAAATGAACCACAATTTGTGACGGTAGATGGCGCTATACCCGCTTTGAAGTTTCTTAGCGATGGCGTTCGAAATAAATAGGTTATGCTGCGTTCCGACATGTTTTTGTAAAACTTTACTCTAATATAGACGTTTTATCGGCAAGGTGGAGAGAAATATCCATTTTGCATTAAAGATATTGTCAATGAAATCTTGTAAAACGAACCAGACGAGTGTGACACCACACTGTTATCTGCTGTCTATATAATATGCTATATAATTGCCAAAACCTACCTAATTTGCATAATTTTTTAAATATCAAAACCCCTGGCCCTTATTCATTCATATACCAAAAATGAGCAAAATCCGTTGAACCTGAACTAACTAATATGCAATTCCCATTTTTGCCAAAAAATTGCCGTGGCTCGAAAGTACGTCGACTGGCGTGCTCCAAAATAGGACGTTCAAACCTCTGCCATAGCAGTAACAACTATACCCAATTTCAAACATGTGGGTGAAACGGTTCCTGAGTTATCGTTGACCGTAGCCAAATGTTGACGGAAGGACGGACGGACGGACGGACGACGGACGACGGACGGACGTACGACGGACGGACGGACGGACGTACGACGGACGACGACCCATGGCAATAGGCCAATAGCTCATCTTGACGATGTCAAGGTGAGCTAAAAATGAGTGGTACGAGCTTACGCATGTAACGTGCTCAGTAAATGATACAACATGTAACCAGGGGTAGATAATGACAAATCATTGATGATTGTCATTATCTACCCCTGATGATGTTACTAATGCGAGCATTATAGTATAATACAAACTGACACACTCGATCCACGCACGCACGCCACACACGCACGCACGAGTTCATATTACTAGCGAAAACAATCATTACTTCGCGCAACGGAGGTCATGCAATCGCTCGCGCGGAGCGGCGCGGGGCGTGTGTTGTGTTGTCGGTGTGGTGTGTGTGTGTGATGCTGTGTTGTTGTGTGCTGTGTGTGTGTGTGCGTGTGTGTGTGTTGGTGGGACCGTGTGTGTGTGTTGTGTGTGTGTGGTGGTGTTGTGTGGTGTGTGTGTGTGCTGTGTGTGTGTGTGTCGTGTGTGTGTGTGTGTGTGTGTGTGTGTGTGTGTGCGACTGTTGTGTGTGTGTGTGTGTGTGTGTGAGTTGTGATGTGCGCTACGTGATGTGGTGTGCGTGCTAGTGTGTCGCGTGTGTTGCGTACGTGTGTGCGTGTGTCGTACTGTGCGTGATGGTGTGTGTGTGTGGTGTGTGCTGGTGTGTGTGTGTGCCGTGTGCGCCGGCCGCGCCGGTAGTGTGTGTATGCTGCCGGTGCGTGCGTGCTGCATGCGATTTATAGAAGAAAAGAGCAAATTAAGGGCGATTGCTAGCACGGTAATGAGATACGCGGGCAGGAAAGGGGATCTCAATCAGCAATTAAGCTACATTTGGCTAATAAATGGTCGATCGTATGCATACATGGTTATTATACATACATTCTACATGCTTTCTGGGGTCAATAAAAGCACTCCTGATCTTACATGTCCTGTACATATAATATGCATCCATTCTATTACATTTACATACATATAAATACAGATACACGTACATACATACGCATGAAGGCGCACGCACGCACGCACGCACGCACACACACACGTGTGTGCGTACGTGCGTGTGTTGTACAGAAGATGGTATTTGTTAAGTAACGTATAACCGAAATAACGCACAGCGAAGACTTACTGTATATACGCTCCTGCACGCGTCCGCGCGCAAGTACGACAACGTATAATAAAATGCAAACATACCAACAACAACTGCTGCGTGGTTCATACTCACCGAATGTTCCTACACGAGCAGTTAGCTAAGCGTGATTACCGCATTCAAATGTGCAGAGACATAGACACACACACTCCCAGCCTCCTAGCGAGTTCATACGCACACAGCCCATTAATAGAGCTTCACACACACACACGCACGCACGCACGCACGAACGCACGCACACACACCCAGCCTAGCTCCTAGCGAGTTCATACGCACACAGCCCATTAATAGAGCTTCACACACACACACACACACACACACGCACGCACGCACGCGTATACACAGCCTGTTATGTGTTCCTCACACGATTACGACAATATAGGCCGTGACATCACTCACGATCACACGCACCGCAGCCGGTCGTGTGGAGAACCAACACTCGCCGATGGTACTTCGTCTGTGAATGAATCACCAGCCCCAGCTATATATCTATATATATATATATATATATATACGTATACACACATCATCCACGTTAATCGTCACATCACACAACTCATATGTGCAGCAGTCCAGCGGCAGCAGTGAAGCAGCAGTAGCAGCTAGTAGCAGTGACGTTAGTCGGCCCGTCTTCTAATACCAGTCGGCGCGTCATCGACTGATCGATAATCGTATTGACCCGCCGCTTACGTTCGAATCGCGCGTATAGCCGGGTCCCGTATATACGCGTACGCCGCTATGAGTGGCAATAGACGAAGCGCGTGCGCACGAGTTCCCAGGGGGACCATTTGGTAAAATATAGGCTGCCACACCTTAGTGTAAAAAAGAGGAAGTTAGTGGAGGAGTAGGGAAAATATGAATACATAAAATTGTTTTGTCTTCTTGCAAATTAGTCCGCCATTTTACTTTGTGCTGTGCTGTTTATGTAAATTAACACCTATGTGTACTGATGACCAAGGAAATGACGCATTCTTGCGATTTAGATTTTGCGCGAAATGTTATCCTAACGATTAGAATGAAGCTACCATCAACTAATCATTTATGTCACCCGGAGTCACAGTTCGAGTAATTTCCTCTGTGCACACCGTTGGGGTTTGATGTACAGCCTAATGTCTGTCAGTGTAGCCTACTAGTAGATAGGGGAGACAAGGAAGACATGCACAGTTTTATTTTCACAACGTTAGAAATAACCAGTTTCTATGTATATAATATACTCAGTCAAACAACTTTTATAGATTCACAAAAACTATCCCTTACAAACTTTTATCGTATAAAATTTACCCTTTTTTGTGAGAAAGATGGGCACGACATATTTTACCGAGCCGGTACCAAATTTCGCTAAACGCACAAAGGTTATGACTAATATTGCTAAGTATTGACTAAGTATCATGAAACAACTAGCTATTATAAGGTTAGGATCTATATTGGTTATATAAGGTTAGGATCTCTATAGACTCACACGAGGAATTTCTATGATCTGTTTGTATCAGTAGCTTCGTCCACTTCTCCTTCCTAATTCCTAACAACTAGATTTACGCCAACCTGTCGAACTAACGCAATCACGTAATGGGAACCGAACAAACTCGCAATTCAATTTACGATTTGAAACGAAGAGACAGACCACATAAATCCAATTACTCCGCTCCAAGAGCGAAAATGTTTAACAACACTTCCATCTTCATTCCCTGACGTTTGAATTGCTAGGAGTTTCAGTAAAAACACTACGTAGGCTGTCACTACCAAACTCCCACGGCATTAAACAAACACGTGCACTACGTAAGCTTTTTCATAGTTCTCCGTGATTTCCCTAAAACATTCATAATTCCAAGTGCAGCCACCGGCTCTAATCTCTGCCCTGTTTACAACTCTGCCCCCGACTTTAAGAACCATATATCTTGCGCAGACACACATACTTGGGGGCATCCTGAAACCTGGTAATATTTGGCAAAATTTGAATTGAAAACAGTCAAGATCACGAAATGGCGTAATGTGGCCATGACTGCTGCCTATCAGTAACATCAAAATGAATACTTTTTATCATGCTCCTATACAATGAAAAACACACACACACACGCACGCACGCACGCACGCACACACGCACACACACACACACACACACACATCTGAATCGTATCAGAAGCCCGTGCAACGAAAATTTCTGGAAATCTGTGAATAAAGACATATAACAATATTAGGTTAGCGGATTATTCCCAAATCATTTCACGTTCACACTTGCAAAATCGTATTGCTCAACCAATACAATTCAGAACTGCTGCAAATATAACGCAATTTTGATAGCAATTTCTATGCCCCTTCAAGATGCAACATACACACATTCTACTGGCCAACAATGTATTTCCGTAAGTGCACGAAACCAAATTAATATACAGAAAAGTGTCTGCATGCCTGTGCCACATGATAATTAAATCAGCCTGTGCTAATTCGAATTTCCAGGACGTACCGCCATGACTATTCGATATCCGCGACTCTTCTTCTCTTCCTTCTTGTTTTGAGGACTGGGGAATTTGAAGCATGAGTTTCCATCTCAGTCTTCTTCCTATCCTCGTGGGTTCTCCGTGCGGAAGTACCACCAGCAGCCTTGCGGAGTCGTGTCAACGTGTTTCTGCCTGCCATTTGTCGTTCTGGGGAATCAACATTAACTTGCAGTTATCACAGCACTGTGTATGTGTACAGCAGCAGTTGCCCATTTATTAGCGGACACTTCATAAAGCGACTCAATAGAGATGTCTCTTTGGTGGAACCAAGATAATTTACATTGCTTTCTTATAGAGATTACTCTGTATGCACCGACATTAGGTCTACATGAAATACAAACTCTAGCCCTGAATGATGTATACTATTAGTGATCATATGCATATGCTAAGGGCGCAGTGCAATACAATTGTTGATTTAATGGGATTGCAAACCAAACACACTCAAACACACACTGTTGCCTCTACTTTAGATCACTAGACCTTGCGTACACATTAAATGGGACAAGTCGTTAAGTGAAGCAACACATCATGAGTGTGTAGTTAATGCACTGACTACAGTAACTAAGTGATTTGACCATCACTTAGTCTCTTTAAAATGAGCTTCTTACCTAAATTTCGGCTGCATTCAACCGAGCTGTATTCCAAGCTCTGCTTGCAGACTTCACTGCACCAGGTGACCAACGTATGGTACATGTCGTTCCTAGCCTCACTTGACCCGATCTCTAAGCCATGACCTTCGTCAATAGAAACAGTTTGAATTTATCAATATCATCTACAAGACATACTTTGACAACCTGGGATAGGCAGAATGTGATGTGACCACAGCAAAGGTAGCGTATAAGTAAGGACAATATATATAGATGGCATAATTGGACATGGGTTACATTATAAACTGGGGAGGTCGGGTGACTTTGCCTCCTTGTTTTTGCAAATGGTCTTCAAGAAAAGGTTGAATTCTATAGAAATCCTCTTGTAAGATTATCAATAAACTGTCTTTCACACAATCAAACACAATCATCTAATGACATACGTGTTACATACAGTACATCCTATTAATAAAGTGAATGGGCACATTCATTAGACTTCGAGTAAATTCGGCACTGCCGCTAAATCCTTACATTGATTGCACAATCGACTACTTCACAGCTATTCTCGTTGCTTATTTAATTATTTAATTACACTCCTACATCAGGCTGCCTGCACTCGTCGACTGCGCGTTGCAATTTGCTGCAACCATAAACACTTCATGAAACCCCGTTGACGTCTATCGACTGATTAGAACAAAATATTTAGCAGTAGTTCGTTGGTGGTAAATTGATTGATATCGTACCAGCGCCTTGTACCCAGTGCATGGTATGCTTAGCTGTCACCTTGGCTAATGTTTCCTCCATCAAATTCCTACTGCACATGGCATCGCATGTTCCACTCAACAGCAATACAGGCTTCCTGTAAATATTTTTAATTGAGGAGAGTGATGACGTTACAGTACAAGTGATCCGCCTGCATCGCAATATTTATATCTTATATCGTCAAATATCCATGAATTTAGCACTGCAGTACCTGCATATGCGCCATATTCTCACAAATACACATGGCTAGCACACTACCTTCTGTTCATGATTTATTTTTTTTGCCCACAAAAAATATATAACGTTTATAGAATCTCAAATAAAGAAATCTCAAAATATATATGTGTATGCGATGATAGTACTTACAGCTGACATTACTAGTACTAACCATATGCGATCATGAGTATTTTCGACATTGTAAAACGCATTTCCATTCGTACACAGAATATTCGCATTCTCGACAAACATTTTATAAGAAATTAGACTACAAGAGTACTTCCACAGTAGTTAACCAGCTACTGACCGAGGAGCTTTATAAGCTTGCTAGATTGCAAGTATTGCTATCTTGCTACTTTCCTAATTTGCTCGCCGTCACAAATTAGAAAGCGACTACCACTGCGCTGACCATGCAGAGGTCTGCCACTTCTGCAATATTACTACACTAGTATTCCATATTTAGGAAGGCATACCCCACACGCACGCACGCACGCACGCACGCACGCACGCACGCACG